AGTGAAAGGGAAAGAACCATAACAATAAGCAATTACATCCACTGTGACCCACAACACTGATGGAGGATAAATGAGGGAGGAATATAGGCATCTGTAATATAGGTGTGAGGACTTATGTTGATTGGTTGTACTCTAAATCCAAAACCCGGCTACTGGGAATCAACATCTACATAGTGGTAGGATGAGGAATCCCAATTGAAGGGATGAACTGCAATTTTGATGTCTCACTCCCATTTGTTTTTATGTTTCATATTGGAGGATATCACATCATCTACACCAGCAGAACATCACCACCCTACTCTCAACTGAAAGGTTTATAATCATTTTAATTTTTTGATTGTGTTTCATTATCCCACTCAGGAGGATGCCTCCACAGTCCACCACCCCAGCAGCTTGGAACTGGAAAGTGGTAAGGATTCTCAAACTCCACTATAAGAAATGGGGGTAAAGCACAGTGGAGAGTCTGGAGGAATGACAACACCTGAGACCAGTGCAATGGGTGACCACGAAACCCTATTTTTAAAAGCAGACTATACCGATTTATTCAATACAAAGCATGACAGGAATGGGCAGCTATCCCCTTTTGCTTTACCCATGTAGTCCATAGGTGGATACGGTCCAGGACAGGCCAAATTACAAAGCAATACTTTGCAAGGATAAACCTACAAGTGATCTTATGGAACACTCCATTTCTGCAGTTTGTGATGCATGACCATGGAATTATAATATGCAAGCCAACATGGCTTGACAGTGTGAATTTGAAAGGTTAAAGAATACCTGGTCAGATACCACTTGCCACAAAGCGAGATCCAAACATGAGTAATAATAATAATAAAAAGGGAAATAAGGCCCCTGAAAATAAAATAGAGAATAATAAAAGACAATTTACCCAGACAAAGTCTCACTGAAGTCTGAAGAATGGTTATAGATTGAAGACGATAGCCTGAAGAGGAAGAAACTGCTATCCTATGCAAATAATGAGAGACAAACATATTAGGAGTAGTCCACATGCCTAATTGAAGAATTTCCTCCAATGGACGATGAATATGAGACAGGTAGATTTAAGTGGCAGTACATTAGGATCATTTAAGAAGTATATTTAGACCTAATCTGACAGTGATGCGATATTTCTATTTAGATTTATTTCCTCTATATCATACTTTTTATGATTGATTCATAAATTGAAAACTTTTGTAAATCTCATTTTAGAAATATTTACAAAAGTTAACACACAGCTACACAGTGAAGAACAGGGTAGACTTTTTGCTGTGATTCACCTTTGTGGAAAACAGTTTAAAGTAACAACAGAAGATATTATTGTTGTACAAAATAGCCTTCCCCTTGAAACAGGAGAAAGAATTAGATTAGAAAAGGTAAGAAATTTAGTATTTAATATTAGAGCTGGGTGATTAGTGGAATTTGATAAATAATCAATTAATCATTTGGCTTATTAACCAGTTACATTCAACAACCAATTGATTATTCTCACATGAGACTTGGATAGTTGGAATAACTGAAAAATGTAACAATTATAAACACTAATTCCTGTATGACACATTACCTCCCCTCAAATAAATAGTTATTCTCATTCAGTGCTGCCCTCTATATGCATAGAACTTTATTTGCATGCCACAAGCCTTCTATTTTTCCTTCTTTGGAATTGACTGATTCCAGTGAGTGTCTCATTGCAAATCATCATGCGTCAACTTTCCACCAATGAGAGTGCGATATATACTCATGATGCATGTGACTCCCTCTATTCCATTCTACCTAACTTTTACTTCCTGTTTGGCAATACTTGTGTTCAGACTTTTTTTGCTTTTTTGTGCTATTCGTGTACTTTGGCAACCTTCCTCTGTTTGTGATCTTTCTCCTTCCACCTTCATCAATTGGCTTCAGCTTTTCATTCAATTGCCTTATTCAGGTGCCTTCTCATCAAATTTGACACATTACCTTTTCTGTGATTCAAAAGTCTTTCAGAAATATTAGAAATGTTCCATAACATTAAAAAAATTTACCATCTCATTTTATAATGTATACAACTGATATTTTATTCAAATGGTAGAAAAGAAACTTCATTTTTCATTTCTTGTCACACATACACAAGTCTCAATTTTGAAAGATGTGTTCTAAAACCTGAAAATGTAACTACATATGTTTAACACTTAGCTAAAAAGCAAGTCAAGTGAATGATGTCAAGTTTCAAATTCAGAAATTAAAAACTTCACACCATTGTATTTCATTAGGAAGAAAATATTACAAAGAGTAGTGAAGTTTTTCATATTATACTAAACCCTTCTAATTTCCCCAGCTAAAGAAACTTAAAGAGAATCCAAAGGAGAGTTTAAAATAAAACGAACGAGAAGTGTAGCACCAGAATCACTAGTTGCAGGCCTGAGCCTCAATCAGGACACAGAAATTATGCCATAAGAAATCAGTGTTATTAAAAACAAATATAAAATGTTTCTGTTGGGAAGCATATTGTGCACTGATTATCCTAAAAAAAACCCGAGGAAAATTATTCAATAAGATGTTTTAATAGCAAGTATTTTGTATTACATATACACATTTCAACAGAACCATATTCTGATTTGATCAAGTACAACCAAAAATCAAGTTTACATGCTGAAAGTTGCAAAATGATATCACAGTCTTTAGTATTTCTTTTAAATATGGTATTGTTTGCTTGGAATTTTGTGCAAAACTACACAATTGCTATCTCCACTAGCCATCCTTAATTTTGAAGTGACAGACCAGAGGGAAGGCAGCTAGTCAACATCACCCATCACCAACTCTTGGACTAATCTTTACTACCAAATAGTGGGTACTTGAGTAAGGAAGCACATTATGCTAATATACTAACAGGTAGGCATACAACAATTTATAAGCATTAGGAAAAGTTTTGTCGATGGTAGAACATATTACATTTCTTCAGGTATGAGCAGTACAAGTTTTATATACAGTTACAAAGACACAAGGATTAAATGGGTTGGAAAAGATGTCAGCAGATGAAAGGATTATAGACAAAAGTCAAGTTTGATAAAATATATGAGCAGTGAATAAACGTTGCCAAATTTAACTGATGTTGTTAGGGCCATTATCACAGTTTAGTGAGAGATCATTTGCTTTGATAAGTTCTATAGTTTAAAAACAATCTCTGTCTTTTTTAGTTTTGGGTTGGTGTAGGAGAAAAATTTCATCCCAAAGTATTGTGTGATCTGTTTCAAATTGATATGTTAGAGCAGGTATCTGAAATTCACCTTTATGCATGTGATCTTGGTATTCATTATCTCTTATTTCTAAGGAAGTTGGTGTTTATCCTACATGTTTTTTTCCACATTCACATGGGATACTAAATATACCTTGTTTTTGTACCTATAGTAGAGATTCTTTCAGGTTAGGTAGTAATATGTTAATCTTACGTGAAGGTTTGAATACAGTTTTTACATCAATGTTCAAATTTTTAAATAGGCTAATAATTTCATTGGCAATTTCTGGCATTAAAGGGAATGAAACAAATTTACTATGTTATATGTTGATTGGTGAAAGATTAGAGTTAACATATTTTTTTACAGTTCTGAAGTTTAATAAAAGCCCTATCTATGACAATGGAGTTGAAACCTCTACATAGTGCTATATTCTTTAAGTAGTTCAATTCAATTATTAAGTCTTCTTTGTGGGTACAAAGTTGTATAGCACGATTTACATAGGTGAAGTAAGAGGATATTTTTGTGATATGTGGTGATTAGATCTTACGTGTGATGGCATGGGATTTCCTGTACACTGGTGGTCACTATATTATTTTCTTTTTTTACATTAACATCTAAAAAGGTGATACAACTGTTAGATTCTACCTCATTGAGTCTCAGGGTGTTTACGAATTCAATGAAATTAAGTAGAGTATCTTTCCCATGATACCATTTACTAAAAATATCCTTGATGTATCTTAACCAAGTTTCATGTTTCTTGATGTTTGTGAATTTGTTTCCAAACAGTTCTTCTAGAATGAACATGTAGATGTCACTAAGTAGATGGAAAATGGAGGATCCCATCACTAATTCATTACTTTGTTTGTAAAACTGGTCTTCATATCTAAAATAAGTATTGTTTAAGCAGTATTCTGTGAGGTTGATAAGGTGGTCTGTTACAGGATTGTTTTCTGGTTTTTCTTTCAGACAGTGTAAGGCTTGTTCCACAGGTATTGAGGTAAATTGAGAAATTTTCTTGGTTTATTTGATGTTTATCTATTCTATTTCCAAAGCCTAAAGAGTTTTTGAGGAAATATGGATTAGTTTCAAATAGAGAGTTTAATCTCTTAGCTCAGAATTTAGCAATGCTTTGTATGAGTGAGCTTATTCTACATACTATAGGTCTATAAAAAATGTTTGCTAATTTTAGAAAGGACATAAAATGGGGGAGGGGGGAATAGTGTGTGGGAGATAAGGGAGTTTTTTTTCTTTACCAGTGAGAATAGGGCAACCTTTAATTAGTTTTTTTAAGTTCAAAATAATTTTGTTGGTAGGATTGCCTTTGTGTAAGGAGTAAGATCCATCCTTTAATAAAGTGTTGACACCTACTTTGTAGTGTTGTTGTTTTTTTTTTCAACTTGGCAAGGCTTAAAAATAGTTTTGTTTGCTAATTTCAAAGGTAGGTAGGTAAAATTTTTTTTCAAATTGCTTTGCAAAACAATTTTGGAAATAACACAAGTTCCCTGATCCCCTAAAACATAATGCATTAAACCACGTATACAATTACTATCAACATTTATTCTCTGAAGAAAATTACAGAAATTTCAAATTCTTTCACAACACACACTTGCTGATCAAGATCAACCTCGATCAATGAAGTTGAATTGACTATTGCAGACTATTTTATGGTTTGTTCTTCCATTCATCTTGTTTTTCAAGTAAATCTACAAGTACTTCCCTTCACCTGGATAAGTTGCAAATCAAAATTAATTTGTTTTTGATCCTAATCCTCAATCTGTGAGAACATTTTTCAGAGACAGATACACTGACCAGACTTGTGTTCATCATGATGTTGATGTATGCTCGTCCATAGTAAATTATCCCTGCTAGATCGTGTATTTATTAGGTTAGCATGAAGGGTCCTGGAGACGAGATAAGTTATGTTGTCAAACCTCAATGTATTGAAATTAAAGAATAGGTTGAATATTTGACAAGTTTTTGTTACATTTTTATTGAAAGAAGTATGATGTTTTGAGCTAGCACTCTTCATGAGATCACACAGCTTACAATGGCTTCTATATGCTCTTTACAGCTAAACTTACAAACATTTTGCAATTTATTACTTTTGTTGGTGCAAAATATAGCACTTGGAAAATGTTTTTTTTTTGTACCAAAATATGATGTCAGTAAGATTCAAACATCAATGTTTCATTCACATCATAGTTACAACATGGTATCTGCTTAATGTGCAGGTAAAATCATAGGTAGTTAATTTCATCTGTTTATGCATACCACGTTTCACTTCAATTGGTGACAGTATTCTGAGGTTGGAAATTTTTGTGCCTGCAACTTTTTAAAGGCCAGAACAGTCCCAGGTGTTTGTAATATTTAAAACTACATCAATGTAGAAACTTATGAAGACTAACTTACCACAATGTGACCATATGAAAATCAAACAGCTGCTCAGATTTGGTTTTAAAACTAATCTAAAATTTTGTTAAACAATATCTACGCTAGCTAAACTATGCAAGAAAGGCTTATATGGTGCAGAGAAGCATTACAGAATATTATATATATAAGTATTTATACAGCAGTCTCACTACTTATATACACACTGAAAGGGTCCCTTATCAAGTAGTCTGTGAACAATCTTGCCTGAAAAACCAATAAAATATAAAGAAAAATGTAAATATATATTTGTAAAATTAAATGTGGATTACTTACACTAAACAAAAAATAAAAGTAATTAAAAATAAATTTAAGCTTTACTACATACCAATGTGGTAATTATTTTTTCATCTGGTAAAAGGCTTCTAAAAACCCAATAACCTGTAAAGCTGTTTCTTTGTTTTGTAAAGAATATATATATATGATATTGGGCCTATCCCATCATATACATATAATAATCGACAGTGATGAATAAAACTAATATTCATGAAAGTAATTAGTTTCATTGAAATAAGTTACATATTGATCAAAGGCATTACATCAATGATGACTTACAGCAGTGAACATAATCCTGTAATATGTTTCCAAAATAAACAGATTTGTAAGATAATAACCAAGAAAAGATATAGTGCTGTTACAACAGTGGAAGTCATGTGACACTAGTAACACGTCATGAAATTCTAGAAGGATCTTGTCTGTTCGTGGCAACTCTAATCTTCTCTATGCGCCCTCTATTTTTGTATATATAAGCCCAACAATTAATCAGAATTAGAATACCAGACAGAGAGATTGAAGATATAGACAGACAATTGAGTCAAGCGCGGTAGTAAGTAAAGTGCGTGAATCGTTCATTGAGAATTATAACGTGTGTTTAAGTGTGGAAATTAAGTGTACTGCAAAGTTGTATTGAGAAAGAATAAACTAGTTTTATTTAAGAAAGGACTTGTATCGCTGAAGTTTCTCGAGAAGAATTTCTATGGGAAATTAACAAACAAACAGAGAGATAACAGTGCAAACAGTTCTTATATCACAAACCACCTAAAGATTGATAGACAGGTTACAAATAGCTTATGTTTTTATATAAACAAGTAATGTTAACAAGAAAAGAACTGCATGTAATATAGTTTTTTTTAAAGGCACTGAAGAAACAATTTAATGCCTATTGCTGATACATATCATAGCACACAAAAAACCAACTATAGATGATAGAATATCTTTTGCCTCATTCAAGTCACTATTTGTATAACAACCAATAAACATTGTAAAAAATAAATAAATAAACCAATGAATGGCCTACACATCCTTGTCAAAAGACTGAGATAATTTATATCTCAACTCTTTCAGATACAGCATGTAAACAAAGTTGCAGCAAAGAACAAATTGACTGTTGAAACAACAACAACAAAAAACAGATTCTTATGTGGCTTATAATGTAGTTATTTAAATAAAACTGAAAATTAAGAACCATATACAATTAAAGTAGTTTAAAAATTACAAAAATGAAAAATACCCTTTGCAATTCTTTCTTCACCATCTTTATCTTCTTCAATTCTATCTCCCAGACAGAAATCTTTAGTATGTTTGTTATGAGGAGACAGAGTTTGAAACCTTGCCTTATAAATCAGAGAATTAAGGCACTGGTAGCCACTGGTTAAACTTGAGTGATTCGCTATAAAATTAAAGTTCAAAATTAAACTCCTATGACTGCTATACTTTTCTATTTCTTTGACATTTTATATAATTTTATGGGTTAGAATACTTAGTTTCTGAAAACAGAAAATAAAGAGCAAAATTATATGTAGATCTAATTCACATCCATGTGTCTATTCAACATAAGTTTAAAAGAATTCAATATAACAACACAATCAGGAAAATTATCCTACAAGTTTATAATTGTTAACAAAAATTTAATTTTGTCAAAAAAAAAGTAATTCAACTGGGCTTCAAAACTTAAACCTTCAGAGGGTTAATGACACTTTATAAAAATGATTTTAGTATGTTAATGCAGTGGCATAGCACCACAAATGCAAGCCTTATGTAATGCCATGGACCACATTTTGAATACTTATTATCTTGATTTACAGTAAATTTCTGACAATTCAACAGTTCAATGCTGTAAAGGTACACTTATGGCTCAAGGACATCTGTCACAGTACTTAACAATGACAGATATTTGTATAATGAGACTGCTAACAAAGGATCTAAAACCACACCTCAACCAATCCAGAGTAATGTGCTCATCCATAAATTAATGCTTTAATTATGAAAAAGAACCTCCAACCCCCAAAACTCCACTTCAATGGAGTGGGCCATATCTTCTGGTACTGTTAACAAAATAATATACAACGATTAGAGGTAAATGAAAACATAAAAGCCAAAAGTTCAATAGCTTCAGGCAAAATTCAAAATAAACAATTGTTTTTACAAGGAAAAATGGACAAAGATATCGGAATTAAAACATTTACATTCAACCATGCACATACCTGTCCAATTTCCCAATGCAGCTCTAAGTATAATGAACTTTGTACATATGGTCTTAAATAAAGTTATCCAAACACATTGGAGAGTTTGTGGAAAGGTAATTAAGATGTATACTGTATAGCCTAATACTAACCTTATTATCCTTCACAGAAGATTGCTATAATGGGAATTTCACTATGGACAATATTATAGCTGAATAATTAGTAGTAGTAGTATTTGCTAATAAATTAATTTACACTGTTACAGCCCATTAATCAATTACTATAGTGTTCCTTACACTATGGCATGTACAAGCT